GCTATATAAATTATTAAGTATAAATCGTTACACAAATCAAATCCTAACTAGAGTTGGCCCCGAAACCATGTGATGCTAACTTGTCACATGCTATTACTTATAAAAAATCAAAATAGATTGTTGATTTTTATAAGTAATAGCATGTGACAAATTAGTATTATATAGTTTCAGAGCCAACTCTAATTCTAACCCAACCCAACACTGACCCTAACCCTATACCAAGTTCAACCTACCTTAAATATAAGATTTTATTCTTGGCTTTCATAGTATGCCGCTTATATATTGTAAATTTGTGATGCATAGCTTCAATAACATTGCCTATCGTCTAAAGCCAGGTATATATATAGTAATTTATATGTGTTATGCGATCTTTAATTGTTTGTTAGTAATCAATTTAAAAACTAGCTTTAGATGATTTCCTGATTAAATCTAAAGTTAGTGTTAGTAACCTATAACTTATGAATTTATAGAACTTACTTGCTATAGTAACACACACAATATGCGGTTAAGGTATATTAGATGTATTTGTCTATTGTAATTTATTGTAAAAAATTTAGTTATATACGTAATTTACTTACTACTGTGGTAATACACAGTATGTGTTTTCAAGGGTATGTTACTTTTGTTATAGCCTTTTGGGCCATATGCCCTGAAAATAACAACACTGGATAGAACTATAATTTTTTTCTTTAAAGCAATGTGAAGTAGGTAGTTTATTGAATATATAAATCAATTACAATAACATGTTCGTTGTACATCAGTAAAAGCAACAATTAAATGAGTAAGTTATTCAGCACAAGTTCTAATATTGTGCCTGTAGTTCCTACACTTAGTACATTTATTTTTCTTTTTTTCTTGCGTACAATTATCGTTCAGAATTATGTTATTGGAACTGTGAGAATTTTGATAGGTGTTTGTAATGTCTTCTAGTGCACTCTTTAATTTTTTAGGTGGTCGTCCACGACGTTTGGTAACAAACGGATTGGTAACAATAGGTTGAGATTCAATAATAAATTAAGATTCAATAGTAGGTTGAGGTTCAACAGTAGGTTGAGATTTGGTGTTATTGTCATTATTGTTTTTCTCTAAAAGTTGTAATTCATGTTTCTTGGATAAAATAAACTTCTCCATCATCTGATTAAATTCATCATCACAGTTAAGC